CTTTGAGTGTGCCTGCGCCCCCTCCCTGCCCAGACCCCGCAAAGACAGTTGCTTTCAGATCTTTCTAGAATCTCCACTTGGGGGAAACAGTGAGCTGGAGGGCCTGGGCATGACCCCTGTGTGGGCCAGTAGGTTTGGATTGTTCCATGATGGAGATGGATTCTACTTTAGTCCTTTGTGCCAAAGAAGTTGGGTGTCTCTGTGGCTTTGAATGGTGGTTCCCATTCCCTTTGAGCCTTCTCTGTGCTGGCACTGCGTCATTCTGTTAGGGGCTCAAGTCTTTTCTTACACCCATCCCTGCAAGGTAGGAATTATCTCCCATTCCCCACAGATGGGCGGGAGAGCTGAGGCCCAGGGAACGGACATAGCTTCCCCAAGTTCACCCAGCACCTTTAGGGAAGGGAATAGGATTCAGGTTCCGATCTTAGTCAGAACTGGCAAGCTTTTCAGCAGGACAGGCTTCCTCAGGCTACATGGGAGTGCAAACATTTTTAAGACAACTGGAGAATTTTTCTATTATTGGGTCAATCCTACAAAGATCACTGGTAAGCCAAGGTGGCATGGTAGCAGCAGTTTGGCAGGAAGAACAACGTGAAAGGCTTGGGACCCAAAGAGGTCTTTACTAGACAAGGCATTCCCGGGCTACACAGGGTCTGTGATGTCTAGAGAGCATCCTAATAGTGTCCTGGGGGACCAGCCTTACCTGGGCATATCCTCCTTCTCAGGTAGTAAGTGGGGCTTACTTTCTGGAATGATCTACTTTTTGAGAAGAGCCTGTCTACACTCTGGCTGGCGCTCAGCAAGCCTGGTTCCTTTCAGTGTTCTGACTCAACATTCCAAAGTGTGAGTTACTTTGCTTCTCGTGTCAGACCTTCATGTTTGGGGTTAGGAGTGATGGGAGAGTCTCAGGCCTCAAAATGCTGAATGTATTTTTCAAGAAATTCTTTCTCCTTCCTCCCCGCCTCTGTCCCTCTGATCCTTCCTTCCTTCCCCCCTTTTTCTTTCTGTTCTTCTTTCTCTAAACTTCTGAGGCCCAGTCTTTGCAACGCTGATGTAGCATGACTTATTAAGAGCTTCCAATATCCTTTATTCTTATCAGAATTGTGTTCCTTTGTCTAGCACCTTAGGGTTTAAAAAAAGAAACTGTAGAATTGCTCAGACTCATGCACACTATTTTGATTCAGCTGTCAAAATGTTTGCAGAGGAAGGTCTGGAAGCAGGCTAATAATCTAAAAGCTGAAGTGAGTCCCTCTGAGGGGTGACATTCTGGTTGTTAACAGTGGTTTTATAGTTTTAAAATCATGTGCATTACAGTCATGATTGTTAGTACTTTTTTGGAATCGTGTTATAAGGGGGGCAGTTTTAAGTTATAATGGTAATAGAGGGCTATATTTATTAGATAAATGTTATTGATGGTTATTATGTGCAAGGCACCTTCTGGATCAGAACCATCCAGTACAATACAATGTGAGGCACCAATGCAAACCACATAGGTAATCTGAAAAATTAGAGTAACCACATTAAACAAGTAAAAGGAAATCAGTGAAATTAATGTCAGCCATGTATTTTATTAACTTAATATATCCAAAATATCATTTCAGTGTATAATTGCAGCTGTGTGTTCCTTAACTTTGGGGATGCATTCTGAGAAATATGTTTGTAGACAATTTTATTGCTGTGTGATGGTCGCAGAGTGGTGTACACAAGCCTAGATGGTACAGCATGCACAGCTGGGCTACGTGGTACGCACCGTCACCATATGCTGTTCATCACTGAAAGGTCATTAGGAAGCACGTGACTGTAATCTACAGTTATCTGTGATATTTTACATCCTTTTGGGGTATTAAGTCTTTGAAAAAGTTTTTATTTCTACTTCAATTTTATTTCAAATTTTATTTTATTTTAAAATTTGTTCTAATTGGTTACTCATGACAGTGGAATGCATTTTGACATATTGTGCACAAATAGAGCACAACTTCTCCTTCCTCTGCCTGAACATGGTGCAAAGTCACACCTGTAGTGTAATCACACACACACACACACATATATATATATATATGGTGATAATGTCTACTTTAATTTTGAAGGATAGTTTTGCAGGGTATAGAATTACCACTTGTCCAGCAGGTAAACATCATCCCAGGATAAGCAACCTATGAATTCGAGGTTGGTCAATGTTTTAAATATTTTGCTCTACTTACTTGTTTTCTGGGAAGTTGGATATGAATCTTAACTTTGCTTTATACAGGGGAGGTAGTTTTTCTTCTTAGCTTCTTGCAGGATTTTTTTTTCTTTCTCTTTGATTTTTTTCCATCTTAAATATGATAAATCACAATTTATTTATTCACAATTATCCTGCTTGGTGTTCTCTGAGACTCTTGGAGTTCTGGTTTGGTGTCTTTTTTTTAAAAGTTATTGGTAGACCTTTATTTATTTATTCATTATTTATTCATACGTGGTGCTGAGAATCGAACCCAGTGCCTCACACATGCCAGGCAAGTGTGCTACTGCTGAGCCCCAGCCCCAGCCCCAGCCCCTGGTTTGATGTCTTGACATTAAGGTGGGAGAAATTCTTAGTTGCTCTTACTTCAGTGATATAATCTATTCCTTTCTCTCTTCTTTTTTGGTATTTCCATTATACATATGTTATCCTACTGTGGTTTGGAGGTAGATTATCCCCCAAAAGTCCATGTGGTCCCCAAGGTGATGCTACTGAGAGGAGATGGAACTTTTAAGAGGTGGGGCCTGGTGAGAGATTCTTTGGTCATCGGGGATCTTCTCTTGAAGGAGACTGTGGGACCCTTGGCTCTTTCTATTTTTTTTTGTTTCTTGGTTATGAGGTGAGTAGTTTGCTCCATCAGGTGCTCCTTGCCATTACCATCCAGCACACTTACCAGAGGCCCAGACCAGTGGGTCCACCCTGTCTTGGTCTGGGACCTTCAAAACTATGAGCCAGAATAAGTATTTTTTCTTTATAAGTTAATTATCTCAGGTATTTTGTTATAGTGATGTCAAGCAGACTAAAACATATAACTTTTGTACAATCTGGCGCATACAGACATGGCTACTGCTCCCTCCCACGGCCGGAAGTGTGAAGGGATTTTTTTTTTCTGATATTCACTGCAAGAACCTGATTAAGCTCCTGGAGATAAAACTCACAAAAACTGTGGGGACACCCTGATGACTGGTTTTCCTTGGAGTTTCTGACTCTCAGACTGTCCACACTGCATCCGGCATTCACTAATTACAGTTCAGGTCTCTGTGTCCAGCACTGTTCCCACATAGGCTTCTGCTTGTGAGCTTCTGCTCTGGTAAGTTGTGATTCTCTCTCCAATTTTAGGGACAGTGGTTTGTCCTGTGATCTCATTTTTCTTATGTATCTAAGAAGAGTTGTTGATTTTCCAGTTTGTTCAGCTTTTCCTGTCGTCAGGACAGAGCGGTGACTCCTAAGCTTCTTATATCACGCAAAGTCTTTGAGGTGCGATGTGTGCTGTATTCGGTTAGGGTCTCAGTGTTGCCCCTGAGGATTCACATGTTGAGATCTAGCCCTCAGTGCTGTGGTTTGGATGTGTAAAAGGCTTGCACGGTTGGCAGGTAATAGAACCTTCAGGAGTTAGGTGGGGCCTCGTGGGAGCTCCTCAGGTCACTGGGAGCATCGAAGAGAATTGTGGGACATTAGTGTCATCCTCTTTTCCCCTCTGCTTCCTGGCTCATGAGGTGAACAGTTTGCTTCACCACATGCTCTTTTCATGTTGTGCTAGAGGCTCAAAGCAATAAGCCACTCAATCTTAAGCTGGAACCTCCAGTACCACATGCCAAAATAGACCTTTTCTCTCTGTAAGTTAATTGCCTCAGGTATTTCATTATCGTGATGGAAAGTTAACTGATACACTGTGAAGCATTAAGAAGATGGACATTTAATCTGACTATATGCTTATGGGTGTGGCCTTTGGGAGGGCATTAGGATTAGACAAGATTGCCTAGATGAAGTCCCCATGATTGAATCCTGTTGGCTTTATAAGAGTAACAGAGTGCTTCCTGTTACATGATGCAATGTTCTGTGTCAGGGATCTACCAGCAAGGCCATCACCAGATATGGGCCCTTGAACAGTGAGCTAAATAAACCTCTATTCTTTGTTCCCACATGGAAGGGCCATGGCATGCATGGCCTATTTTTTTTTTTAAAGTGGTCTAGCCTTGGGCATTTTGTTACAATGTTGAAAAATGTACTAATACAATATACATTTAATATAAAACAACATAATATTTTATATTTTTTGTTACTCTTTGAAATTTGGTGTGTATTTAGCACTTACAAGCATATGTTACAACCACTTTCTCATTAGCCACATGTGGCTTGTGGCTTCTATATTGGAGAGTGTAGTTCTAAATGGGAGGTTGTTTGCTTGAGAACTGGGTGATGATTTTCTTGGGTATAAATTGCCTTCCCACCTGAGGTTAACTTTTGCAGTATTCAAAACACAATCCAAATGCCCCAGAAGTGTTTTCTCCACTCATCCTATTCCCCAAAAGCACACAGTGAGCATTTACTCCGTGCTTAGTAACCTCAGGCGGAGCAGTTCCTTATTGTCCACAGTTACTTGGTATTTAACTGGGGACCATTTCCTCCAACATCCTGATTTTTTTTTTCCTTTCTTTTGTTGCTATTAAACTTAAATGACTTCAGCAGATTTGAGCGTGGGGCTTGCCCAGACGTTTTGCTCTTCCTGTGGGTCCACTTGGTCACTAGAGCTGATAGCTTCCTACTTTTGTCCCTGACAGCAGGTGGACATCAACCCAGGATGACCAACACCTCCCAACTCTCCAACGTTCACATGTAGTGACAGACCCTTCTCAGAGAAGTGAGCCAAAGGGACATTCTCAGACTCATGTCACACACAGGCCTTCTACATTCCTTAGATCGGGGAAAGCGGGTCTCTCCCCCTCCTGCACCCCTAACCTGCTGTAGTCTGTGGAGGTAGCGTGGGTGCGTTTCTTACCCGGGATTGCTGATGCTTCTGGTAGAATTCCGTCAGGTTTAAGTCATCCAGGTTGATCAGCAGGCCTTGCTTACACATCTCACAGGTCTTCAAAGCACCCAGATCTGCTCCTTGAATTAGATAAAGAACTCTATGTAAGAGAATAGATCTTAAGTGTTCTTAACATGCACGCGCGCATGCACGCACACACGTGATCAATTATCTGTCACTCAACGCTGGGTTGGTTTGTGTTGAAAATTTAGACAGCTGATATTTTGAGTTTCAACTTCTGCATGTTATAAATTCTGAGCTTCGGTGACCTTCATTTAAAGTCAGTCATCTTCTCTAGAAAATGACCTTGAATCTTAGATCTGAAAAATTCCCTTTGTAATCATTTATTATGAAAGCTTCATGTAGGTGAAATTCCCATGGCTTTTAAATAACAGGTCTTGTTTCTATTTAAATATAAACATAATGGCTCATAAAATTGGAATTGCTACATGGAAGCTAAGAGTCAGGTAAATAAATCAGTGAGGCCCAAATAGATGGCTGAAGCTAGTTGATGGCTTAAAAATCTACCTTTACTGGCACACAGGTGAAAATCCCAACTGAGAAAAGCGAGGGAGTGAGGGGCCATATGTGGGTATTAGTTAAAAGGAGCATCTGGGCCCATCACCAAAGCCTGAGCTCAGCCTCATTTGGAAGAAGAAGAAACATGAGAAGGCTCCTGAATGTCTGTTTTTATAAAAGCATGCAATTTGGGCTGGGTGTGGTGATGCTAGGTTTGTAATCCCAGCAGCTCGGGAGGCTGAGGCAGGAGGATTGCAAGTTCAAAGCCAGCCTCAGCAACTTAGTGAGGCCCTAAGCAATTCAGTGAGACCCTGTCTCTAGACAAAATATAAAAAGGGGCTGGGGATGTGGCTCAGTGGTTAAGCACCCCTGGATGTAATCCCCAGTATCAAAAAAGAAAAAGGAAAAAAAAAAAAAAGCCATGAGCATCCCCCAAGCATAGCTGCTGCATTTAGATCGATGATTTACCAGTGTTTATTTTATGCATCAAAAAGCAGAGGACTTACTGGTTATCTGCACGTGTTTGCTAATTAGGACTTGTACAGGTTTATACCCCAGTTCTATTTCCCCACTGGGGATATCAAGAAATAGTAAATAATAGAGACTTTTAAAGGGTAAGGATGCACAGTAATCCCTTATCTCCATTTTGTTTGCTTGATTTTTCTTTTTTAGCACCATTCAGTGATGCTCTTGGCTACAGAACATCCCATGTGTCTTCCAACCTAATCCTGCTGAACATACTCATACGAGCATCGGCATTTACGAGCATTTAAGATCATTTTCATAACACATTTCATGGGTCTTTTTTCCCCCTCTCCCTGTGATAGATGTTTAATTGGCTTAAATTTCTAGTAAGATAAAGCATTGTTTGGCCGAGTCATTAGCAACCGAAATCCACTTTTTTTTTTTTTTGCTCTGGACTGAATTCTTTGCTTGCTGCGTGGACATGCGTTTAAGCATCTTGGGAGTGGGCCTGTGTTTCTCATGCGAGGAGGAGAGGCACACATGGAAACAGAGCTGCAGGAAAGAGGCAGTTACTATGATTATCCTGGGTGTTCACTCTCTAGTTAAATGGTGTGCTGTCCTTGGTGAGGGAGCATGGCAACAGGCCTGGGGCCAGAGCAGAGTGCTAGGTCTCCTCAGTAGCCTGAAATAGTGATCAGAACATGGAAGCAGAGAGCAAAGGGATCTGGCTGTGGAGTAAAGTTTTCAGAGAGGTGAGGGTGAAAGAGCATCTGTTTTCTAATTGAGTTGCTTGCATTGATGCATTGATGAGTCCTTTTGTTTTTTATTTTTTCTTCTTGGTCATTCTTAAAGCCATTTTTAAAGAAACCCATTCTCTGCCAAGAAAAGTAAATCTACTGATGAGGACTGAGATTATAGACCCTCCCCGGGAGTCAAGAGAGGGCTTCAAACTGGATGCGGTGGTGCACTCCTGTAATCCCAGGGGCTCTGGGCGCTGAGGCAGGAGGATTGAGAGTTCAAAGCCAGCCTCAGCAATGGTGAGGCGCTAAGCAACTCAGCGAGCCCCTGTCTCTAAATAAAATACAAAATGGGGCTGGGGATGTGGCTCAGTGGTCGAGTGCCCCTGAGTTCAATCCCGGCACACACACACCCCTACCCCTCAAAACACCGAGAGGGCTTCTTACCTGGTTATAAGATCAGACTGACAAAGGCAGCACATGGAGCTCTCTTTATCTGCTATGTTTCTAGAAAATCAGATCAACTCTCTCTCCTTACCCCTGTGGCCAACAGGCAGCTTTGCCTGGTACCTTAGGTGACACCCATCCTCCTTCCCCAAATAAAAGCGTGTGTGTTTGGGGGTCTCTCTCGGGGGACTTTCCGAATTATTGTTGCACACAGCGTCCACTGGTGGACACGGCCACCTTATGCTTGCTGAGCTTCAACCCCTGACCTGATTCTTCTGTCTCCCTCCTCTGGGGAGGCGATCTTAGCATCTCTGCTCAGGTCTCAAGCAGGAGAAGGATTTGGTAAGCAAGTGTTTCCAGGATCCTTCCCTCCCGTAATTTGAAGGCAGCATTTATGAGCAAGAATCCTGGGCCTGGCCATGCTTCCCGGAGAGTGAGCCGTGGGCAAGGCTCCGAGGCCTGCGCGGGGGTGGCTCGGGTTAATTGTATGGGGGCGTCCTCCCCCACCTACCTGATGTTATTTTCACCTTCAGCCACTTCTTCAGGCACTCCTGGTGGACAAACTGCAGGCTTCCCACACAGCCGCAGGGCTCCAGGAGGGGGTTGGCGGGGGAACCCCCGGCTATCTGACAGATGCGACACAAGTCTGCCTCCTCCTCGGAGTCCTCCTCCAGGAGACTAAATGGAAAACACGGCCTCGTGACCAAGAGTCTCCACATTTGCAGTTTCTACAGATACCAGTTCCCAGGGCATTCAGGGGGGAAGGAAGAAGGAACAATTGCCACACATCCTGCCTGCCTGCTCCTGGGGCTCACCCTTGGTCACCCTGGGGCTCATTCCTCTGGACGGGGTTATGCATAATCCATGCACAAGTTCTTTTTTTTTTAGAGAGAGTGAAAGAGAGAGAGAGAGAGAGAGAGAGAGAGAGAGAGAGAATTTTTAATATTTTATTTATTTTTCGTTTTCGGCGGACACAACATCTTTGTTTGTATGTGGTGCTGAGGATCGAACCAGGGCCGCATGCATGCCAGGCGAGCGCGCTACCACTTGAGCCACATCCCCAGCCCCGCACAAGTTCTTATATTAGGTTTCTTTGTAGTTCTTGAGATTTGTGAGCCCACGGGACCAGCATGGCCAGCACAACCAAGAAGCCAGGGTGAGGCTGGGGTGTGCTCAGTGGTACAGCCTTGCCCCGCATGCCTAAGGCCCCAGATTCCACCCCAGCAGGCAAAACCAAACACCAAAACCAGGAACAAAAACAAAGGAAAGGCCTCAAGAGGGAAGTGCAAATCCAGGAGCCCCTCCCTGCCTCAGTCGCTGTGAGGAGGCTCTGGTGCCCAACATCACGTACAGGTGTGTAAACTTGTGGGATTCATGCTCAGGGCTTCCGGGCTTGAGGCTGCCTCTGAAATGATGAAGTCATGTGACCTTGGGATGAACTCCTAATTTCCCCAGCATCCCGTTTCCTGTTCTGTAATAGGGGTGAGGGTAGCACTAGTGCAGCCGGCTTGGCAGGGTTGGGCAGGCTGGGTGCCTGGTGACGGGGACATTGAACTTTAGGTGCGTCCAGTGCCTGGCAAAACATTTGTGGCCAGAGGTGTTGTGCTCAATAGGTGTTGGTTCAGAGAAGTGATGAACCCACAGACCTGGACGTGAGCTCACCAATAACAACTCTTGCCAGCAAGTGAGTCCACATTTCAGAATGTAAGCTGCTGGTGTTTGATAAGATAGAATCAATGGAAATGCAAGCAAAGATATTTGGGCCCCGGAATCTGAATGGTCTGATGGTCACTCAGGTCTGAAGACCACGGATCTAAGGAGTAGGATCAAGGGCTCTGTGTTTAATTTTTGTGGGGAGGAGGTGGTACTGGGGATTGACTCAAGTGCTTAACCACCGAGCTATATGCCCAGCCCTTTTTATTTTTTCAATATTAAATTTTAAGTCAAGGTTTCACAGAATTGCTCAGGCTAGCCTCCAACTTGTGATCCTCCTACTTTAGCCTCCGGAGTTCCTGGGATTACAGGGGTGCACCACTGCATTTGGCTCTGTGATTAATTTTTTTGTATGTATATAGTTTATAAATGCCTGACTCCTAATGTAAGCTCTCCCATCTTCCCAAAGGTGTAGTGGGAATCCATGGGCTACTACATTTTGAGAAAAATACATACGTTCACAAAAGTGAAGAAGAGAGAGAGAGAAAGAAAAAGAGGTCAGACATGAAGTCATCACCCCAAAGTGATTGCACACTAATAGTTTGGGGCACTCCCTTCTGTTCGGGGCACACTGTTATTTAGAGAGTTGAGCTTGTTCTTAGGGACAGCAGGCAAAGGACTCCCATGGATCTCCCTTCCCACCCGAATCTCTTAAAAAGATAATTACACAGAACGAATCCACCACAGTGCCGGAAGACCAGCGGGCCAGAAATATTGAAGAATCCTAGGACAATAGATGCAGAGGTGAGGACACTGACCAGACCTGCTTGCAGTAGAAAACCGTGGAGAAGAGCTGACCCAGACAGTCCCCAGCTTGGGGTGCACAAGTTCACGGGCAGGGCAGTTATGAGGGTAACTAGCTCAAGACCTGCTTCAGCACAGAGGGCCGGGTCCTCTGGGCAGCCCAGCAACAGTGCCTGTGCCTGGGCACTCCCGGAGCTGAGTGCTATAGAAAGGGAACTCTCATAAAGCCCTGAGTTTACAGACAAGTTCATGAGCAATCCCGGTCACACAAAGCCTTCCAATCAGGGAAGAGGGCTGCCGAGGAAGCAAGGCACAGCCGCGGGACAACCGAGTTGGCTGCCTCCATGCTGAACCAGCCACTCCTTCCTTCATGGACTGCAGGGATCACCTGTCACATGTGGACCCCAGCAGCACGGAGGAGAGGAGACAAGAAAGAAGAGCCTGCTGACCCTGCAAGAAATGAATGGGTCAGCTAACGGGGGAGTTAGTTCTCAGGAGGATTCCACTGCTCTGGGAAAGGACCAATGAGAGATAAGAAGAATTTCTGGGGAATTAAAAAAATATATATGATTAACAAAATGAAATTCCAGGTGTAGCGATATTGATAGACAAAATGTAACTCAGCTAAAAGTGTAAAGGTAATATTGACCAATCCACCAAGAAAATATGAGCCTTAATGTGCTAAATAAAAGCCAAATTCTTATAAAGATAAAGGAGGATGGGTGAATCTAAATCATATGGGAAGGTTTTAATAAATAACTTTCAGAAATTGACAAATTCAAAAGAACATAATTGACTAGGAAGATTTTTTTTTGTACCAGGGATGGAACCCAGGGTTGCTCGGTCAATCACTGAGCCATACCCTAGCCCTTTTTATTTTTTATTTTGAGACAGGGTCTTGCTAAGTTGCTGACAGAAGTAGGAAGAATTTTTGGGGGGAGTGATATCGGGATTGAACTAAGGGACCCTTAACCACTGAGCCAAATCCCCAGCCTTTTCTTGTATTTTATTTAGAGACAGGGGCTCGCTGAGTTATTTAGTGCCTCACCATGGCTGAGGCTGGCTTTGAACTCCTGATCCTCCTGCCTCAGCCTCCCAAACTGCTGGGATTACAGGCGTGCGCCACCATGCCCAGCAGGAAGAAGGAAGAATTTTGATGGCAAACTTTTCAAACTGTATTTTACATGTACGTACAGACCATGAGAGAACAGAGGATATGCAACATTCCCTAATGCCATGGCATATTTGTAGATGTTGAATATGTATTGGGGCACAAAAACTGCAGATCACAATGCAATTAAATTAGGATGGATGCTGGGTGTGGTGGTGCACACCTATAATCCCAGCAGCTCAGGAGGCTGAGGCAGAAGGATCGAGAGTTCAAAGCCAGCCCCAGCAAAAATCGAGGCACTAAGCAACTCAGTGAGACCCTGTCTCTAAATAAAATACAAAATAGGGCTGGGGATGTGGCTCAGTGGTTGAGTGCTCCTGAGTTCAATTCCTGGTACTGTCTCCCCGCCAAAAAATTAAGATGGGCAATAAAAACTTTTAAAAGAAAGATAACAAAAGGAAATTTACTATAGCAAATATTTTTAAATCCTTAAATTTATAATAAATAAAAAAGTGTATAATTGATGCAGTATTTCAGGCAGATTGACAGAACAGACTCGAAATTGACAGGGATTGTGTGAGCCAAGAAGGCATTTCAGATCAGGAAGGGAAGGATAGAATGAATGCTTGTGGGACAACTGGTTAAATGTAAAAGAAAAACAAAAAAAACAGACATCAGAACCCCACTTCAAATTACACATCAAAATATATTCCATCTGAATTTAAGAATAGCTCTCATGTAGTAGGAGTCTGCTTTGTGCTAGGCACTCTCTGACATAGGTAAGTATCTTAAACCTGCATATTTTGAATTGAACCCAATTCTCAGCACCACATATAAATAAATAAATAAATAAATAAAATAAAGGTCCATCAACAACTAAAAATATGCATATAAAAAAAATCATGGGGCTGGGGATGTGGCTCAAGCGGTATCGCACTCGCATGGCATGCGCGGGGCACTGGGTTCGATCCTCAGCACCACATAAAAAATAAAATAAAGATGTTGTGTTCACCGAAAACTAAAAAATTAAAAAAAAATCATGCACATAAAATATGAAGTAAATAAAATGGAAAAAGTGAAAAAGTATACGCCTGATATTTGGCAGAGCATTACTATTGATTTTCTACAAAGAATGTTGATATATTTTAGGAGGTAAAAACAATATTAACATTCCCCCCAAAATGTAGATAGGAGACAAGATCAGGCAATGACAAATGAAGATATGCAAATTAACAATAAACATGGAAAAAGTTCAACATCACTAATAAGCATAAAATTTGCAAATTAAACTGATTATAATTTTTGGCTAATCATTTGACAAACATAAAAACTAGGGAATTGGCAAGGGTATAGAGAAAAAGGATTTTTTCAAAATGGTGGTTGAAAAAACTCAAAAAAGCTATAGCTATATATTATAATGAATAAGAAAGATTAGCAAAAATACAGAAAATATATGTCAATTGCATTTGTATACACCAACAAAAAGATTTAAAATTATAATTTAAAATATCGTTTTAATAGTAAACAGAAAATAAAAGAACCTAGAGATAAATGGAAAGGCTTTTATCAAGAAAAAAATCACAAAACTACATAAAAGAGGGCTAAGGTTGTAGCTCAGTGGTAGAGTTCTTGCCTAGCATGCATGAGGAACTGGGTATGATTCTCAGCACCACATATAAATAAATAAATAAATGTCCATTGACAACTAAAAAAAAATTTTAAAAACTACATAAAAGACATTAAAGACAAAAGGAGGAACATACCACGTTTACCAAAGAACCAAACAATATCTCAAAGGTGTCAATCTCCCAATAGCCTGTAGATTCAATGTAATTATAATAAAAATCCCAACAAGCAGACTCTTAAGTATATAGTCAAGGAGTCTTTAAAGAATTGCGTGGACATGGTGGCTCATGCCTGTATTCCCAGCCATACCTGTATTCCCAGCCATACCTGTAATCCCAGCCATACCTGTAATCCCAGCCATACCTGTAATCCCAGCGGCTCTGGAGACTGAGGCAGGATGATCCAAGTTTAAAGCCAGCCTCAGCACTTAGCAAGGCTCTACACAACTTAGCGAGACCTTGTCTCTAAGTAAAATATAAAAAGGGCTGTGGATGTGGATCGGTGGTCAAGTGGCCCTGGGCTGAATCTCTGGTAGCGCACCCCTCCACGCACCACCAAAAAAAAAAACAAACCCAAAAAACAAGAAACGAAAAAACAAAACAATGTGGAAAGGAAGGCTTTGCACCATCACTCAGCAAAACCAATAAAAACTGTAGATATTAAAACAGTCAGTATTAAATTAGGGAAAGACAAAAAAGACTAATGGAACAAAAAGAAGAGCCCTGAATCAGATTCATACGTGTATGGCATGTTGTGCACCACAGAAGAGGCTGTGCAGAGAAAATCCTGGGACGATGGCATGTTCATAGGGCAAAGTATAAAGTTCACCTCACACCACATATTAAAGCCATTTCCCATTTAAATCCACAACCCCATTCACATTGAGTCCTAAATGTATGAAGTGAAACAGATTTCAGAAGAAAATAGGAAGAATGTCATGATGATGTCAGGTTAGGGAAGGATTCCTTCAACAGGACAAGGTACCAATCACAATCCACAAAGAAGATGGACATATTTGACTACACTAAAATTAGGAATCTCCTTTCATGACGGGCATGGTAATGCACACCTGTAATCCCGCCACTCAGGAAGCTGAGGCAAGAGAAGCGCAAGTCTGAGGTCAGCCTCAGCAATTTAGCAAGACCCTGTCTCCAAATAAAAACTAAAAAGGGAGGGGGGTGGAGATCAGTGGTAGAGCACCCCTGGGTTCAATCCCTGGTACTAAATAAATAAATAAATTTCATTAAAAGACATAATAAGGAAAAAGATGAACTAGAAGGTGGGAGGGATATTTCCAATATTTAACTTCAAGGGGTTAGGATCAGTAGCTAGAATATATAAAGGACTCCTAAAATAAGATACAAATATTCTAAAAAGAAAAATAAAGACTTACAATATTTCACAGAAAAGGAAACACAAATGGTCATTTAACATTTAAGAGAGCACATAAAATACCTAACCTCATTAACAGTCATGAAAATGCAAATTGAAGCCACAATATCATTCTATTCCCCTCAGACTGGCAAATTTGAAAAGCTAATCAGCATAAGAATTGTCAAGGATGCATGACTTGGATATTGCGGGTGGAACCATAGATGAGCATTACTTAGTACAGGGGAAGAAGTGCCACCTGCCAGCCCAGAGACTGCATTCCCAGATAAACATCCCAGAGCACTCTTCCCACGTGCACCAGGAGACATTCACAAGGATGCTCATGCAACGTTGTTTGCAGAAAACAGTAAACAGCCCACATGACCATGGACAGGAGAACAGGTGTATCCATACAACCAAACACTTTGTGCCCCTTGTGGTGAAGGGAACAAACGAAAGCCCCAGATACCAAGAAGGATGCATCTCACTGATGCTGTGAGGGGAAAAGGCAAGTCTCCGAAGAACAGAGATTCCATTTCTACAGAGTTCAAAAAGGGTAGGAATGGTTCTACAGAGTTTAGCAATGCACATACACGTATGGGAAGAGCATTGAGCAAAAAGTCCCAAACAGGATAAGACAGAATCCAAAGGAACCACTAACACAGTGCAGGTGAGGTCAAGGGGTGGGGAGGTGAGGAGGGAGACCAGGAGATCCGGTGGGCATGGTGCTCTTGAGCACGACAAGAAGGTTCTGTTAGCTGGAGGTGGGCACAGGGATGTCTGGGGCTCTTCTCTCTCTCTCTCTCTCTCTCTCTCTCTCTCTCTCTCTCTGTGTGTGTGTGTGTTAAGAAAATTCTCCAAAGTGTATACATATTATATACTTATTTTTATGTATTCATGTAACTAACACTGGAGGAAAACATTTTAACAGTGTTAAGTGCTATTGAGAAATGGCTTAAAATAGCAAAATACGACATTTTAAAAAACAATATGAACCAATGTTCACTAAAAGTTGCAATTTTCAACAGTGATTATCTCAGCATGATAGGGTTATAGGTGTTTTCCTTTTAAGTCTTTATTCTAAAGTATTTCCTAAAGTGGACACTTTGGAAATAATAAGAAAAATATAAGGTCTGTTCCATGCAGGAAAACAGAACCATCTGATAAAGCAAGTGTCCTGTGAGCAAGAGCTGTTTGATGCATCAGCAGGCCTAGAAGTCCATGCATTTAAAACGATTACTTTGAGCCCAAATGCATCGCTTTGGGATGGTGGCATCCAGTGTTCAGACCAGCATGTCTGAAGCTATCGGCTCAGGTAGGTGAGGATGGGTGGGGCGAGGTTTCTTGGCCTTGTTTATCACAGAAAACCATAAAGCTAGTTCTGGAGTTAAAGAGGCAGAGGAATAGGTATGTGTTCTGTGTTTTGGTTCCCCCTCTTTTTTTCGTTTTTAATTCATTGTCAGGCAGTTTTTCTGCTTACAAATGAATATCCAAAGGATAATCAATGGCCCGAATGAGCCAAACCAACAGGCACAAAGAGGGTTCCCATTTCCGAGAATCAATTTCCAGATCTGTAGGCCTAGATTAGGGCACAGTAAACACCTATCATAAATGAAATGGTAGAATTCTGACACACTGTTTAATGATAGCTTTAAAAAGTATCCCATTTCATAGCTGTGAAATATCCCCAAAATCACCTCATGAGAAAGGAAAGATCAAAGGAAAGGGCAGTTCAAAAAAGGTCTTGCTTTTCTCTCTTTTGTGCATAAGAAAGAACACATAAGATGGAGGCAGGGCCTCCCTCAGCCTGGCCCCTCTGAGGACCGAGGTAACTATGGTAACTGTTTGGGAACCATCTTCGGTTTGGAAGGTTCAAATTCTCAAACTGTTGGTTTGATTTGCGATAAGTCCCAACAGGGAGCTGTGAACTTCAAATGCTGAATGGTTCGTTCTCTGGGGAGATAACAACCTTTTCATGAAAAATCCTGGTTCCTAATTGCTGGGGAGACAAACCAGCCCTACTCCATCAGAATCCATTACATCTAGCCAACTTTCCTTTCTTAAAGTTATGGTGTTCAAGGGAAAAAACACTTTAAGAATACTGAAGATATTGAGCAGAAACACCAAACTTTTCTTTTTTCATACCTATATTCTAAGAGCACCAAAATAGGGACAATTTCCTCAAAGTAAGCAATCATTAATATGTCAAGGAACGGTCTACCTCTGATTTAGATAAAATTCCCATGACACTCTAATGAAAGCAATGTTTATTTCAGCATTGGAAGAAATGGAAAAGAGTATGTGTACTTATATATGTAATTATGAAACTTCCTCACCTTTCTTGCAATTTCTTGAGTTTCTCAGGGTCTGTCTTTATTTCAGTGGCCTCCTTTACATCTGGGAACCTGGATACTGCCATACTGCTGCCATTATCATTTTGATTTGAGAAATCAGACACTGCAAAGAAAGTAAAAGGTATATTTTCTTGCAGGGACCCAGGCACATGCAAGTGACCTTGTAAGTTCCTTCTTGATGGAGAGGAACTAGGAGGATGCACCGGGGACAAACTGCCTTGAGGATTTGAGAAGAGATCTTCTGTGTATAATGGAGCCCCCTGAGGCAGGTTTGTGAAAGTAATGTCCTCGGCTCCCCTGACATCAAATTCATGTCCAGTGTTTACTGGGTGGTTTTCAGCACTGGCAAATGAATTCCTATTTCTGATAGGGGACAATGGCCGGCGAACATTGAACCTTGAGTTTCCCTCTGAACTTGAGCTGTGACCTGAAGTCGGTGACAGTGACAAGTCTATTGGAACTTCATCTCTCAGAGCAAAATGCATTAATGATCCAGGAGTGTAATAAGATGAATTCATGGAGGATCTCGAAGCTGTTGGTCTAGCAGAAAGTAAGTGGTCAAAAGAATTTCTGGAACTATTTAAATAGTCTTGCCAATTTCTTTCATAATCATGGATACCAGACCTGTTTTCCGCAGAAATGCGATCACTAGGTACATTTTCAGCATTGAGACCACCATCTTGTCTGGGTTCAGAATTGGTGTCCACTGAATGGAAGGGCTTTTGCTCATTTTCACTTCCACCACCATCACTGTCTTTAACAGACTCCCCATCAGGTAGTTTGGGCTCCTGGAACATCCTTTGCCCTACAGAAAATTGCCTTGTAGGCAATGGCTCCATTAGGTTGCTTATTCTTAATGAGCCATGACTGGGCTCGCTCCTTCTTAAAGAATTACCTCTGCAATGTTCAGGGGTTTCTTCAGAATTTTTATTTTTGGTCTGAGTAACTGATGTCCCAAGAAATCTACTTCTTTTATGGTTGGAGGGAGAACGGGGTGAGCGCATACCAACCAACAGAAGTTCTTCTTCTACACGGATTTCCTCCTCAGTGTCCTCATCTTCTCTTCCAGCATTTAACGATATAACAGAATAGAAATCTTCATCTCGGAACCTAAAGGGTGACCTTCTTGGCCCCCCCATGATGGCGGGCATGAGTGGTGGCCCCAAGGGCTCACTTAGCACTTGAGAACTCTTCATTCCTTGGAAAGTCTGGGTTGGGGTTGAATGTGGCTCATTCTGGGAAAGAGCACTTGGGTCTCCTTTTCTGGCTCTCTCAAGGGTGTTCTCAGCTGTCATCATCAGTGGTGAGGAGGAGACCAAGTTTCTTCTCTCTCGGGTTGGCCTCTTCAGCTTAGTCTCGCCTGCCCATATCAGGGTTTCTTGTTGAACTACGGGATCTGCATGGACAAGAGACAAATTTGTCATGCTGTTTAAAGTGCCCATGCATGAAAGCCCTTTACACCAAGCATGGGGATCCCTTAACCATAAGAAAAAGCCCTGGAGAAGAAAATGTGAATGGCCAAAATGGTAGGAGGTGCAGGAGGAATGCCACACAGCCGGCTTCTTTTGACTGTTGCTGGGTTCTCCTTTGTACCCTTGTGGAGTTCAGGCTGGTTCTGGGGAAATAGGGTGACCCTGAGGATACAGATTCTTTCTGCGGAAACTTCCAGAATAACGATCCAGCTTCAGGCCAGTCAGGGGCGAGGATGGATAAATACTGGTTTTCATTCTGTACATCATGAAGGAAAACCAGCACTCTGGGAGCAACTTCTACAAAAACGACTGATCCTTTCTCATCCAAATTCATCTGACGTACATTTATGACACTCTGGTTTCTCATACAACTTTATAAAAATTTATGAAAAGTATGTTCATTATGGCAGACTGCTTGCGAGGAAGGCTCTAGAATCCAGTGCCCAGATACACTGAATGAAGACTGTGGCCATGCTTATTCCACTTAGTGAAAATTGCAATTTTAAATCTCTCAAGAAATCACAATCTCCTCTCTGTCATTAGCTTCTAGTAAACTCATAAACTCTGGTCATTATAGAATCCCCAACTTCCCCCACCCTCCCGACTTTATAGTAGGAGGAGGAATTTTTATTGGTGAGATCACTTATTCAAAACTTGTTTTATACAAATAATAAATGTTACTTATTGAGGGTGTACTTTGAGTAGAACCATAACTATATATCTCTTTCTTTCTCACACATACTTACAAACACACACATAAGCCTTGCAGCTCTATGAAATACTTCCATAATCATACCACATTATAACTGAGGACACCAACACACATGGAGGTCACATAACTTGCCCAAGACATTTCTAATAAGTGATGGAGTGAACATTTGGACCCCAGCCTGTTTGATTTGAGGTTTGTGCTCTTAACCACTATCCTGTATTATCCCTTTAGAAACTGGTTGGACTTCCAATTTCCTTGTGAAAACCAGGATCCAAAGGAATTCATTGTGTGGTATGTGTGTGTGTGTATGTGTGTGTGTGTGTGTGTGTGTGTGGTTGAGGGTTATTCACCTTGATGGCACGGGTAGAAACTGAAAGTACTTCTCTGACCCCATTTCTCTTTTTTCCCTCCTGAAGTGAGCCACCCCCCACTCTGCCTGCTCTCTGTTATTCTGTGGATCTGATGAGACTCTGCTGTCCTTATCGCTTAGTCTCTAAAGCAGCTCGCCTGCCTGTCGAGTGGACAGGACTTTGCGGGGCCTGGGAAGGTCTGTGATAACAGCTCTGCTGGGGAAATGCAAATCCTTGGAGCAGCCGGCTTAGCCAAGGGCCAAGTCAATACCACTCGCTTTAATTGAGCTGCCTGGCAGGGGAGCCCGGGCTTCAGAGGCTAACATCCTAACACTGGGTAAGCTTCTTTTATTGTTAACTGCTCAGGACACTCACAGACACAGTGCGAATCTTTACTCATCAGCTCTATCAGTTAAACTCTCCTACCAGGCCCCTCGTGGGGTTTATAAACCCCAGGAAGAGATTTATCAGCAATTCAAGGACTCCTTGAGCATCTGGCTATGTGTGCACAGGAGTCCGACTTGTTCGCCCACCCCACGGGGCTGATCCCCACTTGGGAGACTCGTGCTTCTACATAACCAGCTGAATTCTGATCATTTATTTCTTTCTTTTGAGGAAAAAAGTGATACGAAGGCATCAAAGTCTAGGCTCTGATTGATCAGTTTCCATTTTGAATTTGAGGAGGGCCTCAGAAGTTGGCTCATGGTGCTGGAATCCAAGACTTCTGGTCATTTTTAGAATTCACCTCCCTGGCTAGAGGGTGAGGGGCTGCTCCCCATCCCCACCCCCGCTGCCCCTGAGCTCTGAGCAGGGAAGGGGGAAGACACCTGGTGGGCTAAAGAATGAGCTGAAAACAGAAATTGGAGACTCAACAGGGGCCATGAGCTCATTTCCTGGAAGCCACTGAGCTGTCATAGGGTGATGGGGGCCTCTGGGGCAGAAGTCCCAGCTACACACAGCACCACACCTTGCTGAGACTCCTGCGGCTCCCAACAAAACACACCAGGGACTGCATCTTCACGTTCCCTGTCACCACACTGTCTCCTCTTTAAAAATTCAATCAGAGCTTCTCTGGTGTGTGTGTGTGTGTGTGTGTGTGTGCATGCGCGCGCATGTGTGTTTCCTAAAGGTGACAGACTGCAGCATTCTATATTTATGCTATTTCAACCCCATTTTTTGGTGTCTATCAAAGAGGGAGCAGACTTCAGGGCTGGGGATGAACACTCCACTTGGTATGCAAGTGACGTGCTATTCATAGTGCAGACACTGGATGCTGCTCTGAGGCCTGCCTGGCCTCCAGCTGTGGCGGGGGGCCTGCCATCGCCAGGAGTTCCAGGCATGTGGAAATGAAACCTGAACAAGCGACTGTCTGCCCTGAGATGATGCCTTTGGTCTGGACTTCCTCGTGTGCTTGACCAAGAGTGTCCTAATTCCAACAGCCATAGACTTTTCATTTTTTTCCCCCTTCTGGTTATAAAAGCAGCCTATGATCACTGGAGAAAATAGAGGAGAGGATGAACTAATCCAAGTCTGCCCATGACTAAGGGCTCAGGTGACCATTGCTCATGTTCTGGGGAGTTGCAGGCTAAAGACCCCTGGTTGTTCCCATCCTGCAGTAATGCTTTGGCTCAGCATTGGAACCATGAATTAAATGCCTTCAGATGGAAACATGGATGTGTGGTTTACCTCATAATCCCCGCTATGAATCTCTCCTGTCGTACCCACCTGCTCCCTGAAGGCATTTGAACTTACAACCCAGGCCTCCCTTATTCTAGAGGTTATTCCTTTTAAAAAAAACAAAATTGGTATGTTTCTGTATATGCAACTGTATGTCCTGCTTTCTTTCTCTAAACATTTCATTGTATGCATTACCTCATGTCATTATTCCTTAATGATAATATGAATGTATCATAATTTGTGAACTCTTCCCCTGTTCCTGGGCATATAGACAGTTTTGGGGTTTTTGCTATCAACGGATCCCTCTGTGATAAATTTCCTTGCTTGCGCATCATTGACGACACACCTTCTTTTCTTAGAATAGATTTGTGGGGGTGGAGTTACCAGGTCAAAAGGTATGAACTTTCTAGAAGGTTTTGACACATGTTGCCAAATTTCTTTCCAGTTTGCACCAAATTACCCTCTGGGGGAGGCACAAGAACATCGTTCTCATAACTGTGTCCCCAGCAATCCTTGTCGATAGCATTTGACACAACAGTGCCAGGAAGTATTAGCTCTTAGTTTTACGACCACTATTAAATATTATTTAAAAATCCTTAGCCAAGTTGGCAGGCCACATTTAGCTCACTTGTGAATTTACATTTATTACCTATTAAGGCTGAACTTCTGTTTTAAGTGTTCGCCTATGTGTCTCTGCAAAATTGTTACCCTTCTTCTCCATTTTTCTCTTAGGTATTTTGTGTGTGTGTGTGTGTGTGTGTGTGTGTGTGCGTGCGCGCACATGTGTGTTTTATTGATTTTTTTTCTGTATATTATCTTGGTTACATTTGCTTCAAATCTCTCACTGTTCAAATATCTGACTCTATTCCAATTTATTCAAGCCAAATTAGAACGTGAGGAAAGAAACTAAAGAGAGACTCTAATTGGGGAAAGAGAAGGAGCCCTGGGATAACAACTCAGGGAGTCACAGGAAAATAAAACTTGTCCCCTAGGTGCAGATGGGGGGTTGAATGAGCCCCATGGGTCCAGGAATGTTTCATGTGCAGAGAACGTCAGCTTTCAAATAATATCAGAGTTCACAGAGAGCCACTGGGGAGGTGGCAGGACAGAAACTAACAATGGTTCAGGCCTTCTGTGTGGACCTAATATGTACTGGTGCTGGTCTGTGTATTACTTCACTAAGCCACTTTAACAATAGGGCAAGGTAGATTTTCATTATCCTTGTTTTAAGATAAGGGAACTCTATCCCAGTGTGGCTACATGACCATAAAGGATCCCACTGCCCGGAGGGAGAAGGGGAATTAGAACCCTTGAACTGGGGTCTGCCCTAAAGCTCCTGCCCTTTCTCCTGCCCAAAAGACATTCTGTAACTGGGGACATCTCATTGCTACTGGTTCATGTGTACTTTAATGGCATCTCATTCCAAGCCATCTAAATACTCCATATCTATATCTATATCTATCTATCTCCCATTTAAACACAAAGGCTACCACGTTCATTTAGTATCAAGAAAGTGTGATACTCAGTGGTTTCTCTGAGAGCAAATTTTGGTTATGACACATTGCTTCTCTTGAGTCCTAAGTGAGCTCTTTAGGTGCTGTTCTCTCCTTCCTGTCACTGCAGGGGACTGTGACAGGGCCAGCAGAGTAGATGGCATGAACCTTTGGGTGCATGCTCAGGACTCAAATTTAGAAAGAGGAGCGTTCCACCAAGCCAGTGTTTGAAATAAAACATATATTCATTTTGATATTTCTTACACACTGAGATCTTGCTGCTATGACTGCCCTGGATCAGAAAGGCCATCTCAGAGATAAACAGTCTGCTATCACGGACATCCATTGTCCTGCTTTTCCATCTTCCCCCAGCTCCTGTCCACTCAAAAACACACCTTGTCATGCTCATGGTGTTATGGGAGATAAAATAAAAGATAAACTCTTCCACTGCTTTTCCCACCAACATCTATTGGAGGAGGGGAAAAAAAAAAACAACCTCAAGATCAAATAGTTTGCTTTTAAAACCTTTTTAAGTATTTCACTTTAGGGTATTCTCCATTACACAAAAGCACAAGCATCTACAAACCAGGAAGAATTCATCAGGTGACAGCACAAGTCGGTCCTCTTCCCTGAGGACCAAGGTACAGCAGCCACCGTCCTTACCTGCTCCCCAGAGGGTCTGTGCCTTTGCAGGCAGCTGTGATTTCTGTCTGCTTCTGTCCCCAGATGCTCTTGGGCTGTGCATCTCTGGGCTGACTGTCAATCTCCCCAGGTTTGGCCTCCTCTTCCTTGATAAAATCTTTGGTGCCTGTGCTGCTGAAAGGTGCAAAATCTTTTCAATAATTAATTTTTTACAGGGAAACATCCATATAAAGAATGCTCAAAGGGCCCAACAATGGGGTGTCTGGGGGCGGGTCACAGGAACTCAAGAGATCAGAGTAGCTCTGGGGAAACCTGGTTCCACTCCCTTGTAGTCACATGAGCTTGGGTGAATTTCTTCACCTCTCCAAGCCTCCTCCTGTTACATGGAAATAATACCTACTTTGCAAGACTATGATCACCATTAATGAGCACCCATGACACCTGCAATGCACAGGGGTCTATCCTTTCACTAAGAAGTTTCTAGTTTCCAATTCATGTTTGGATGGGCCTGTCAGCGATATTGTCCAGAAGGCCCCTGGGACACTCAAGGTCCCTTGCTCCCCAAGTGCTCACCCAAATTTGAATCACATATTTTGTACTTGCATATTAATGTCATTGGGTTGTTTTGTGGCAAACATTACCTTACAGGAAGATTCCAACCTTCGGGGACCATCCACTTTTCCTTGCCCATGTCCTACCCACCAGTGTGCGGGTACAGGAAGCAGTAGCTAGAGTGCTACTGTGGACTGCATTCCCAATGAGCACTTGTTAAAAATTCATATTTGGAATTAGGTTGCTACTTGGTATGAATAATGTCAAGTTTCTTCTTCACGTGTATTAAGCATCAGTGCACGTGAATATGAGGGAAAGTCGCAGCATTTTCCAGGCACCTCTACAAGTTCTTGGGCTCATAAGGCAGTTAAATTGTGAATATCTGCACTTACTCCCCCAGGAGAATTTGCCTGGCTCATCCCCTTTTAGACAGTTTAGAAGTTTCACAAGTAGATGCAGCCAGCAGGCAACAGGGTAGAGCTGGGACAGGACCTGCTGGCATGTGAGAGCACAGCCCTTCCTGGCACGTGGGGACAACTGGATTCATGTTTCAGTGTGTAGGCTGTGGTTGTGTGAAGTTTCTATCCAGATTCAGGGAAGGGAGGAAAGTTCTCTTTGGCAGACTGTGAAGGCCAGTTTAATACAGGGACTAGGTCCGCTTCCCTCTAACTGGAGGGCAGGCAAAGGGCCCCTGCACCACAGGGAACTTACTAGAGGGGGGGGGGGCCTCTGGTGGTGTTGAGTCAGCAACAAAGCAAGTTGGTAGGGCCTAGAGAAGTTGTGCCTTGGCCATAAAGGAGGAGGAGAGAGTGGAATTTCTCTGGAAAATGAGAATATATTCTTTGGAGGGAGTGAGGGAAGGAGAGAGAGAGGAAGGGACAGGGCTCTTTGTGGAGGGGGACACTAGGAGGGGGTCTGGAGGAGGAAAGCATTTTCTCAGCACCCAAAGTTGCAATGCTTGAATCCAGACAGGCCTCATCCCTCAGCTCTCAGAGACCAACAGCGGCTTCTCTCCCCTCACCTGATTGACAGAAGAGGAAGCTGTGGGATTCTCGATGAGGAAGAAACAGAGCAACCAGGGAAGGGATAGGCTCGAGCTCAGGCCAAGTCCTAGTTAGAAGGATTTCACTTTGATTCCCAGCAGAATATTCAAATTCCTCCGCCACACCCACCTCCAGGCAGCAGACCCTTCAACTGCTGGCAGATGGACCCTCTGACTCGACTCCATCCACACACTTTCAGGAAGTCTCTTTCCCCAGTCTGCACCAGCAAGCAGGTCCTTCGAGATCTGTTTTTTTTTTTTTCTTTGTCCACTGAGTCTGCTTTACTCTGCCTTTTCCAGAGGCCTTGCTTTCAGCCTTTGAAGGCCTTTAGCATTTAAATATTCAAAAATTGCTTAACACTTTTTTTTTTCTCTCCAAGTAAACTATAAACTCCTTGAGGACAGATACTCTCTCATGGCCAGTCTGTAGGTCGCTTCACACTGTTACACAAGACTAATAACAATGGCTTAGTCTTCGAAGGGCTCCAGAAGATACATTCAATCCCAGCTATGGGGAACTTCAAAACTAGAATCATTTTTTTGATGTGCAAAATACCTAAGAAGGCTTAGGAGAAAAGATTATTTTGTTGTTGTTGCTCAAAAAACTGCTTTCTTTAAAATATCAGATTTCTTAATTTTTAAAATGATTATGTGTCTCCTGTCATTGAGCTCCAGCAAACTGAACTAATAAAGCTGGACACCCAAAGATTATTTTACTAGGTCTGGCAGTGGAGTAGCATTAGGATCCCCTGACCTTTGGCAGTTTGAACCTCAGTTTCTGCAACTGAAAAATGGGAATATTCCTACCTTAAGTTACTGTAAAATTTAGCAATAATATACATACATGACCTAACTTTGTGTCTGGAGCCTATTAGCTGCTAAACCAGTAACTGCTCCTTCTACCATAATGGATACTAATACTTCAAACCGAGGAAAATCTGAAGTCATTCCCATGAGAGAAGTGAATTTGACCAGAAACTTATTGTCATGCAGGCTTTGCAGGTTGAGAATAACTTATTCAGCAGCCTGCAATCCTGTGTCATTCTTATTGATTCTCTCTTCCAAGCCTTCTTTTCTAAAATCCAAAAGGCAAATAGCAATTTTTTTATTATAATTTGTTCAACAAATACCTGTGTGCCTTTGCTATGCAATGATTGAGGGTTCACAAAGATGAGCAAGACATTTTGGTCATGACCTTAAAGGTTATGATTTAATTTGGCTGCACTGCTCACTTCTTGTCTGAGGTACCCTTTACGTCCATGGAAAGCAAGCTCTTGCAAAACGTTCTTTCTTCTCCATCTACCATCACAGTCACAAATGAGTGACCTTGACTGCATATTTTGCATACATGGATTTAAGAGTTTCAGACATTCAGCAAGGCCACCAAGTTCCTAATCATCTTACCCACATGAATGGTGAACCAAATTTCAGAACTGATCATGGAATGATGGCAACGCTAATAGTCTGCAGGAAATCTAAGTCATACGTGCCCTAAGAGGTGAACTATAAAATTCCTCTTCAGGTAGCAGGACAAGCCCTCTGCCTTAGAAAAACAGGAAGGAGTTATGTTCAGAAGTTTCATCTCCTGGTAACCCAATATTCTGCATGTCAGTGAATTTGGAGAAGACTGTGTTTTGCTTCAGACAACATGTAGCCCATACCCTCTTTCAGTATCTGAGCAAAGGGATGCCTCTGATAGCAAAGAAACCAAACAGCTGTTTTGATAAAGGGTATATGCTCCAGTTCTCTTGATAAGCTGGGAAACTGGAATTGATATGCAATAGATCTTAATTGGACCAGGAAAGGAAAAAAAATGGCAGAAGTCATATATATATATATAATCTCCCTCACAGCTGAGAACCAAGCCATCCAACTGTCTATGCTCATTCCATGCACTTGATAATGGTTCAGTTCCCTCACACCACTGGGCCCCTACACAGACAGTTCTTGACAGACAAAATTGAAAAGAAAGAGAAAGAGGAAAATACAGTTCCTGCACCTTTATCCTTGTTCAGTGCTACCTTGACTGGCGTCCCTGGTGCCTAGGTGCTGCTGGGATTCCATGTAGGAGATCCTGCTTTGAAAAGGTGATTGCTCCCTTTGGATCATGAGAAGAATTACAGCTTAATTATAAGAGCCAGTGTTGCCTGGTGTAATAGGCAGTTTTCTATATGGCCACAAATAATAGGTCACATCTATTTGCCTATTTGAGTCTGCTGGAAATGTATGTTGTCTCACACACCCAGAGGAGATCTTAATTAAGGCTTCATTATGTACCATAAATATGTTTTATTTTGGAACGCAGGAGGTGGGATTTTTTTTTTTTTTTTGATTTTAGGAAATGCAATGCCTAATAAGTAGGCAGGAAAGGGAATGTCAACACTGACTGAGCCCTTTCATCTGTCCCTCCTCAGCACGGTCTGGATGGGCTTTCAGTTCCAGAGTATGTTTTCACCAGGACCCGCCTGGTGCCAGCCACCCTTTCAGGGCAGCCTCGGTGACTGCTTATTCATATGACCAAGGGTTTGAGCAGACACAGAAGAGCCTGCTGGGTTTCTGGCGGTGACGTTCCAGAGAGGGCCAGACACAGAATCAAGAGAGTCTTGAGAGATGATGGGATTTTATTGATCGTTTACTTCTTCTAGGGGAAGCTGAGCCCAAAGCAAGTGGTGGCGCTGTCCAGTCTTCCTGCTGCCCTGCATACCACACCTCCTGGTATTGTTCATGGCATTGTTCTGGCCCCTCTCCTGTCATCTGCCTTCTGGAAGCCTGATGTTCCCCTCTCCTTGACTCCTCTGGGCTGCGTGCCTTGCCAGTGGCGACTTACCATATGAGGTAAATCTTACTGGGCCTTCTGGGGCCCGACACGCACAGCACAGGTGTCTGGGATGGAGTTGGGCAGGAGACAGGGAAGTAGCAGAGGGATGAGGGAGACCCAGGTGTGGGGCTTGAGGTGGTGGGGGTGTAAGTCGAGTAGGTGGGAGGGAGAGCCGGAGGAGTGGAAGAGGAAGAGCACTGGGCTGTTGGGGAGGCTGGTGGCACTAGTGGCAGGAGGAGGCAGCAGTAATTGGTATTGGGCTGCATGGTGGGAGAGAAAGCAAAGACGGAGCAGTAAGGGGAATATTCAACACAGAACAGGGGGTGCTCGCTGCTGTCACCTGCATAAAAGAAAAAGAGCAATCAGGAAGCAGCACTCGCCGGTGGGAAAGGACATTAAAAAAGTCTGAGAATGAATCAAAACTCAAAAATGGTTCTTCGGGGGTAGGAGTGGGGCCTCCAGGTGTCGCAGGCACAACAGGCCTGGCTCCTGCCCAGGAGCCTCCTCGCCTAGATCTGAGTCACCCAGGAGTTAACCAAGGGAAGTGGCATCACCTTCACACCCCTTTCTGGCCAATAGTCTTGGGCAGACCTGGCAGATGTAGGGAAGTTATTCCCCCAGCAAGTTCCCCAAACATCCTGAGGCAGCCATGTGGAAGGCGCGGTCCTCCCCCGTTCCCCACAGCCAGTCTAACAAGCTGTTCTGGCGGCAGCAGATGGTGGCCTGCAGGGCCTCACTGCCTTCAGGCACTCGCCCCCGGGCTCCAGCTGCCCCCGGCAGGAGGTTGTGGTCATGCCCTGATCTGGCCTTTCTGCTCCAGAGGGGAAGCTTGGGGAAAGAGAAAGCTGCAGAGAGACCCTGGTGGGATCACGGGAGGGGGAGGAATCGAGGAGGGACAGGCAGGTGGACCAGAGAGGTGTCCAAGTGAAATCAATGACTTCAACACCAACCTCACACTCTACCTGCCAACTTCTCTGGAGGCAGAACACAGGCGCCTGATGGAGTCATGATTCAGAGCAACTCCCTCATGCCTGCCCCTAGCCAGCTCGGTCACCTTGAGTCTACCGCTTACCTTCTCAGAACCTGTTTCCTCATCTGCAAAATGAGGCGGGTGTTTTCTCTGGCCTCGCTTCTCCTAGGCTGGTGCTTAGACGAGCAGCCATGAACGTCACCTGGGAGCTTCTTAGAAATGCAGAATCTCAGCCCCCGCCCCCCAAACCTACTGTGTCAGAACCTACATTTTAACAAGGTGTTTCCCATGAACATTAAAGTTTAAGAAGCAAAGCTCTGAGACGGCTGCCCAAACCTCTGGGATGAGCATCTTTGTAGGGCTCCTTCAAAACAGTTTTGCAGAGTCCTTCATGGGAGATTCGATTGCTACTATGGTTAGGATCAGTGCCCTCCAAAGATCCATGTGTTAGAGGTTTGATCCCCAGGTTGATGTTGATAGGTCATTGAGGATGTGTCCACAAAGGGGGTTGTGGGTCCCTGGTCACCTTCCTCTTTCTCTCTTTCACTTTCTAGCCATGAAGTGAGCTTTCTCGCTTCACCACAGGCCCGAAGCAAATCTGTCTACCCCAATCTTGCACTGGAACCTACAAAACTCTGAACAAATATAACCCTTTTCTCCTTATAAGTTAATTATTTCAGGTATTTTGTTAGAGTGTCCTGAAGCTAACTAACACAGAAACTCTGGCTCCGGGATGGAAACAGGAATTTGTGTTTCAGTGAAGCACCTCCTTGGTGACTCTTATTCAGTAGAGAAGTTTGGGAAATGCTGCAGTTAAAATCAGCTTTGATTCTAAAATGAATGGCTGAAATCATTGTAGCCATCCAGTTGAAAACTATTACATGAAGTGGAGGGTCTCAGTCCAATGGAGGGACTCAGGAGTATCTCTGCCATAGATTCAAGCAGATATAATCTACTTTTCCTTCCTACCTGTCTCTCAGAGTGGTTTACTTCTCAGTCATTTTTCTCTCTGGGCGGTTGTCTTCCTCTATTCTTCCTTTAACTGTTCTTTCCTCCCAAATCTCCTCTGTCACCTGTCTTCTGGCTCCACCCACTCTCAGAGGGGAGGAGGCACTCTTGCCATTTCAACCCCCTCTGACTCGCTGAGGCCCTTGGATTCCCTCAAGTGGCAGGAGTGCCCTGATGAACAGCAGACAGGGGACCCGGCATTTCTACCCTCTATCCTTCTTGCTTCTCAAAGACAACACCACAGAAGGGGGCCCACCCTCTTCTTGCTTCCTCAGCCTTGGCAAAGGCAGCCTCCACTGGCTTACTTTTCTGGGCCAGATCCCTGAGATCTCTTTGATTCCTCCTTTTTTTTCCTGATTCCAACTTCCAAGTCACCAGGTTCTGCTAGGCTTCCTTCCTTAACCATCCCTCAAGCCCATGCCCTCTTCTCTATTCTCTCTGCTCTCATTTCTCCCCGGGTCGACTGCAAGGCTGGTCTGGTCTCTTGCAGTCTGGGTCTGGCTGCCCTCACCTTCCCAACTGGTCCCTGCTCCTTGCTATGGCCAGAATCAACATGAAAAATCTGGTCTGGGAGCTGGGGATATAGCTCCGTTGATAGAGTGCTTGCCTCGCTGGCACAAGGCCCTGGGTTCAATCCCCAGCACTACAAGAAAAAAAAAAAATCCGGTGTGACTGTATCACTTCCCTGCATAGTCCCCTTTGATAACCAATGCTCCGTTGCCTTCAGCATGACATTCAAGGACCTTGGGGACCTGGTCCTATAGAGCCTAAACTTTATATTCTACACTTCCTAATTTGCAGCCTGACTCTATCTATACCAGAGCTTTTCAAACTCACAGGTGCATGTGAATATCCCTGAGATCTTATTAGGTGCAGATTCCTAGTCAGTAAGCCTGGTTGGGGCCTCAGGTTGTGTTTTATTTGTTTGTTTATTCATTTATTGGTACCAGGCATTTAACTCAGGGGTACTTTACCATGAGCCACCTCCCAAGCCCTTTTTATTTTTTTAATTTTGAGACAGGCTCTCAATAAGTTGCCAAGGGCCTCGCTAAGTTGCTGAGCCTGGTCTTTAACTTGTGATCCTTCTGTTTCAGCCTCCCAAATCACTGGGATTGCAGATGTGCGCCACTGTGCCTGGCTTCTGGTTTGCATTTCTAATAAGCTCTCAGGTGATGCTTCTGCTACTGGTCTGGGGTTGTGTGGAGACCCAAGACCCTAGACTATTTGTAGCTCCTTGATGTCTGTCTATCCATCTCTCTCTCCTCTAGGCCTTTGCAAGCTCAGCACCTCCTGCTGGGCACAACTTCCTTGCTCTCCTCACCTGGTTAGATCTCATCCTTCAGGAGTCTCACCTTGTTCACTCCTTCCCACAGGTTCTCAGGACTTACCTTGGTCAGGGCAAGCACTGCACTGTTTGCCCTGTTGGTGTCCTGGCCGCCCAGGGTCTGTGTGTTTTATCCCCAGAGCCCAGCAGTGAATGAAGGACCAAGTGAATGAGTGATGAGTGGAAAATCCAATTTGCCCTGGTATCATGCACCCTGGGATGGGGAACTGGAGGTGGGGAGCAGCTGAGTGGACCTGTTAACCTCCCCATAGGTACTGAGTAAATGCATGCCTTCTTCTTCAGTGATCAAATACTTTAAGGTTTTTTTATAACTAAGTTATAACACTCTCACATCTCAAACTACTTTGCCCAAGCCTAGCAGGTGGTGTTGGGAGCAGGCTTTGGAAGCAGTGGAAGGACTAGGGCGGGTGGGGGGGTTCTACCTTTACCAAAGGCTGATACCCAGGGTCTTAATCTTCTATCTGCCTGGTGAAGTAGCAACACTGTAACTCCATTTTACTGATGAGGAGACTGAGTTGGGAAGTTGCCAGCTCACATTTATAAGGCTATAAAGTGGTAGAGACAGGATTCTGAGCCAAGATTTCACATTCTGGGCTCCGTGATACCTCCCAGCCCCTCTGTCTCAGAAGCATTTGTAAAAAGGGATTGAGAATTATGAATTTCTGTAAAAAAATGTTTCTCTGTTCTCTCATTTATATTGTTTTGTTGTTTCTGACTTGGGCAGATAGCTTGGACCGTTGTTGGACACCAGTTCGACTTGCTGGGAAACCCATTCATCTTGGCCTTTCAGAGAAAATCTTCAATAGAATTTATTTGCAAGGCAAATTATGAAGATTTCAGGATTTGCCCTCAAATTCCTCTCCCAGGCTGCTCTTTAAATATTTCCCAATCCAAAAGAGACCGCAGTTATTTTAGATTTCTATCTTTTAAAACCCGAATTCACCACTCTCGCTTAGTTTTACAAGAACATGTCTTCAAGATAAGCTACAGTGAGGCAGGATAGGTCTCTCACTCGGCCTGCAAATCTGAATCTGGTTAATGACTGACATTGAACTCAATAATCAGTGAGGATGATTTCAGAACACTTGGCTTTGTTTTAAAGGGCAAGATTTTGGAAGCAGCCTCCCAGGACTCCATCCAGATCCAGTTTCCTGAAACATAACTGGGGGTTTCTGCCCAGGCTCCAGGTGAGAGCAGAGAGCAGGAGAGGGCACACTGGCTTCCCATGTGCCTGGCCCTGGGGTCAAGAGCACTGCAGGACTCCAGGAGCCAGAACCCCACAGCACAACGGCCTTTGGATGCCTCTTCCTGTCCTGGAAGGGAAAGAGGAGGCCCCTTTCCAACCCAGGTTGAGGCTGGCAAAGGTCTTCAGAGCAGGAGGGAGTTGGAGACCACCATAGCCTCCCGATCATCCCTGTACCCCTGCATTTGCTGAGCCTGCTGACGGCTCTGCAGCTCGCCAGCCCACATAGAAGCCTGAAATACATGCAACTCTGCGAGGCGTATTTCTCACCCACACCAGTGTTCACTGTGGTTGTGAAGGATCCTGCGTCAGCTACACATCAGACCCAAGTGGGTCTTGACACACTGCCTGAATTTTCCATGTCCTCTTTGGAGACAAAGCATATCTTTGGCTTGGTGAATAACTCCTGATTATTGGTCTTTTTCCATTTTGTGTTATGCTTTGGAAACTCAAAAAGTGTAGTCAAAGTATGTGTACCTGCATTTATGTCAGAGATTTTAAAAAAATACACCTCTGATTTTTGTGAAGAGAAAAAAATAGGGGGGTGGGGTGGGGATAAGCTTTAGACAAGGAAAATAATGTTTTTCTGTACCAAGTGCTGCTTTCACATGGGAGGTATCATAATGCTATAATTTATGTAGTGGTTACAGTGTTGTGTGCTATTCTAATGGCTTAGTGTGCTTATCATATCACTGACTCTTCCTGGCAATCCCAGCAGATGGGATCTCTTTTTATCCCTTCTCCATTTCACAGATGATGAAACTGAGGCACTGAGAAATTACTTGCCAAAAGGTACACAGCAAACATGACATGGGGACCAGAAGGTATCCAAGTATTTAAGAAAAAATACTGAAGATTGAACTCCAAGCCCTTTTAAATTTTTTGAATACATACACATATATGATTTTTTTGCCATTTTTTTACTAGTACATTATAGTTGTATGTAATAGTGAGATTTGTTGTTAACATATTTGTACGTGCACACAATAAAATAATCTAATTTGGCCAATATCATTCCCCAGTATTAACACTTTCCTTCCCCTTCTGCCTCCCTCTGGTCCCTTTCCTCTACTCCACTGATCTCCCTTCACTTTGCATGAGATCTGCCCCTTTCTTTTTCCTTTCTAGCCCCCACATCTGAGAGAAAACACAGGACCTTTGACTTTCTGAGTTTGGCTCATTTCACTTAACATAATGTTCTCAAGTTGCATCCATTTTCCTGTATATGACATAGTTTTCATTTTTCTTTGTGGCTGAATAAAACTTCATTGTGTATATATACCACATTTTCTTTATCCATTCATTTATTGATGGACATGTAGGCTGGTTCCATAGTTTGGCTATTGTGAATTGTGCTGCTATAAACATGGATATGCATGTATACAGTAGGCTGACTTTAATTCTGCCCCCAATTTTTTTTATTTTGAGATAGGTCTTGCTAAGTTTCTGAGGCTGACCTCAAACTTGCAATCCTCCTTTCTTAGCTCTAGAGTCAATGGGCTTACAAGTATGCACCACCACCCATCCAGCATTTTAATTAATTAATAAGCATTTTAATTCCAAAGTATTTGCCCATCAACCACTCACCCTGCCGCACAGAGGGAGATAACAAGGAGCATCACAAGTCAACTTATCCAGAAACAGTTCCAGGGAACCATAAACTTAACTTAAACGTGTGACCACCAATGGACACAAGTGTGAAGAACAGTAAGAATCTGGTGCCTTCTTGGTTATGAATCTGTTTGTGGAGGGCACTCAATGGGCCTGAGTTGCTAGTAGTGATTTCAGGGGTTCTAGAGGGCATGGATTATCATCACAGGTTTATGGTAAGGCAAGCCACACTCCCCAGCTACACTCTTCTTATTTGGGAAGAATCTGGCCTCACACAGTATGGAAGGACAGCTGGCCTGTTAAGTAGATGTCACAAAGGGATTTCACTGTGTTTGATGCTTCAGGTCTGAACTGGAAAGAAGGTTTGGCCTTGCACTGCCAAACTGGGGTGATTCCCGAAATGCCTTAAGAAAAATATTTTTCTATGGAAATGAAGAAAAGCAGGCAACTGCATTCAACTAGTGGATCAGCTCAATGTCCAGATAATTCAGGAAACAACTCCTCTTTTTCTGCAACAGCAGAGCATTCACTTCAATTGTCTGCATCGTCACCACCCCCAGCTTAATTTTTCCTGAACAGACTCAGCTTAAATTCTTGCCACAGTAGTGGGCTCTCATTTCCTACGCTAACTGGGAACTCCAAGGGTGGGTCCACACGAGTTAAAGGAATGGACGAGTGGATAGGAACACACTAGCACTTTGCTTTTAGGCAGCTTCTTGATCAATGCAGATCACTGCACACCTGATTTGGCACTGCCATCAATCTCCAGGACTGCTGTGCTGGACAGACAGCCGGTTCCTGTCTAGCGCATGACTACCGGGTCTTGGATATAGGCTCAGGCCGTGATATGACAGTGAAGCTGGCAGTTTGTAAATACTTCTACTATAAGTGACATTCCTCATTTGATGAAAAAGATGTCTTTTTGCCAATTTGGCTCTCTTGCTTAAACCTTGATGTTTTTCAGTCTGGTAATTCTTCAAATTTGATTTTTCATAGAATGGGAGGTGAATTAATTCACTCTTTTTGTCAGTGCTGTAAGTTCCATATGGAGTTTGCTCAATCTGAAAAAACATCTGTATTAATCAGACACACTAAATCATCAAGTGGGCCTCAGCAGTTCCTTTTAATGTTTTTACTCCCAAGATGACAAAGCAACAGCTACCAGTTTTTAGTAAGAAGGCAAAAAAGTCAAATTGAATGAGTGGAGTCCATATTATTTAAACTTACACTCAAAATTTTGCAATTAAGATATACTCAATTCAATAAATTATAACTTGTATTTTGAAATATTTGCAGCATGACCTCCTCTACTTTATTTTGGCCTTAAGATAGTTGAATTCAGAGCCTAAAGTCTTTAAAGTGAGAAATTAACTGTGGTGTTACTTTTCCCTGATTAAATAAGGAGCAAGAGATGTGGCTTTGCCTGAAAGTACATTGTTATAGAAGTTGAGTTGAGGGCTGGGGGTACAGCTAGGTGGTAGAGTACATGCTCTGGGTTTGATCCCCAGCACCACAAAAAGAAAAAAAAAGTCAATTTGGTTTTTACTTCATTATAGCAATAAAACGTGGGTGGTTAATCTGAGTGAAAGCTGACATTTTCTAAAAAATGCATTAAGATTTAACTGGACGGGTGGTTGCATGACAGAAGCTATTTAGGATTAGGAAGTAGCTGTGATTCGGATTTTAATGAATTGCAGTTATTTACGAATTCTTCAGCAGTTAGTTTGGATTCCTTCCCAGAAGGCAGAACTCTCTGCCTAGTTACCCCAACTTATGCTGGTTCCCAGAGGGTTCAAGTTTGTCCTATAGATGTTGGCTTTGATGGGAATGAGCCTGAGGGACTCTAATCTTCCTGTTGATTTTAGCACTCCTAGTGCAAAGACCAGTCCGTGATTTGAATCACAGCTAAAGAGTGAATTATTTACCAAACTGCACAAAAAGGAAGGATTTATCAAGTTCCTTTGCTCCCAGAGAGGACAAACACAGGACTGGAGGACTTTATTAGTTTCCCTTTCAGCTATAAATTATGCCATTTGGATGCTTTTGAAAGCTCCTCTGGCCTCAGTCATAACTTAATACCTGGGACCAAATGCCTTTATCCCCCCAAGAAGGGTATAAAGGCAGCAATTCTGGGGACTGCCACACCAAGCAGATAATTGGCTTGAGAAAAGGGCAAGGAGACAGTTTGTTCTGCATAAGTCATGCCTCTTTGACCTGATGGTCACTGCGGAATTTACCATGTGCACAGGATCATTCCCCAAATTGGAATTAGTCACTTGGAAAACACCAGGTTTAACCAATACCACTAATTTGATTGTTGTCATCGTGAAGGCAGGGATTTTTAGATGCTGTGAATTTCAATAAATCAGCCACTCACCTGAAGGGGATTTAGTGGTTTCTGATGATTTCTCAGGTTTCCTTGGAGTCATGGTACTCTTATGTTTTTGCTTGACTGATGTTTGGTCAATTGCTGGAAGTTTGGATTCACACTTAACCCCGCATATCTTGCTAGATGCTCTGGATTCAGCTACAGAATCATCCTCACCAGAACTCTATTGAAAATGAAAGATGTCTGAGTATCAGTGGCCAAGTAGGTCACCTTTGCTAGGTAAAGAAAAAAGAAATGAGGTGAATGTAGGGACCCCCTCCAGCAGCGATGCTGAAGCATCTTCCCTTGTTCAATGAGCCCTTTTGTGAGGTTTTTTCCTTTTTTTTTTAATGGAATGGGAGTATCAACTTAGAAATAATGGCAAAGTTAATGAGGTTATTTTGTAAAATATTATGAAAAGAAAGAATTCGAGTCTGTTTTGCAACACATCCTGAAAAGAATGCATTTAATAATTCAATGACCAATAAGTAGCTCATGTTAAAAGCTACTATACAAGGAGAGAAAGAAACAAACAAACAGTGCTTTTGAAATTTCTTGAAGTTTGTTATTTGAACTACTTTGGGGGTGGGTGAGGGAAGATGTTCTTTATGTTAATCATATACTTGACGCGGAAAGGAAATCGCGATAGTGTGGTGGAGACTGATTAAATCAAGCCTCGGTTTCAATATTCTGCATTATTGGGTGCAGCCTAAGACAGATGAATCTTAAAAAAGTCTCCTCCTTGTCAGTCTTCTATAAAGAAGTCAGCATAAATCTATGCGTGGATAAATCGTGATTCCTGCGGTGTCAGAATATCTCAACACAGCCTGGCAGATGCGATAAAAATTATCCAGGCGTTCAACGGTTTTATACTTTGCCACATTTATACCCACCAAAGAAACGATGGAAAGAATATAAGTGACTATCAAAAACCTGATATTCCAGGGTGATTTAAGTACAGCCTTATGACTTTAGGACCTGGTATTAGCACTGTTTGATGGGCCAGACGCTGTGCACCAGACAAAATCACAAGGGTTCACTCCACCCCCAACTCTAAGGGTGTTCCCCTACATTGCCCATTAGTCCAGTACTGGAAAGCCCTCTGTAAGTGTGGACTTTTGCAGACACAGGCTGCTAAATGAATGTCCCCGGCACCTCCCCAGCGGCTGCAATTTGTATTGATCTTGCTCATTGTCCTCGTGGACAGTCGAGGCATTTTCATTTCACAGGCTCCTGACTCAGGAAAATATTCCAAATAGCTTTGAATTATTGGGTGCAACACAAGACAAACTAAACTCTAAAAAGCCCTCTACTTGTCAGTCTTCCATATGGAAGTCTCTATAAATCCACAGGTAGACAGATCATTATATTTCAAGACAATAAATCATGTTTTTAAATTTAGTGTTTGGATACAGCCTTCAGACAAATAATTATTGTGACTCCATGTATTTTCAGAAAACACACCACCCTCAGATAAAGGGACAGGAAGAGAACAAGACATAATGAATGGATTGTTTTCTGCCTTTTTCCCTTTTGATTGTGTGACTTAATAGAAATCCTTGAGAACTATTCTGACATGTCTAAGATGAAACATTAGGGTCATTTCTGAGCATGAGATGAGTTCTCTATTCTCAGAAAAGGAAGTGTGGGCAAATTTTAGTTACGATGCCTAAGACTGTCATTGTAAGCGGGTGATGGAAGTCACAGTGCCTGGATTTGGGTCCCAAGCAGAGCAGCAGTGAATATGGGGCAGAATTTCTCCAACACATTTCCCACCCCAACAGCTTGCTTTACTTTAGATGGTCAGGCAGTCTGCTCACCCAGAGGCCTGCACTTCAACCTTTTCTTTCCAGTGGGCAGAAAGGCAGGGCTCCAGGCTAAGAATTTCAACTCCTGCACTAGAGCATCAGGAACAGGTGTCTGCTTGAGTGAGTGGATCCATCCCCATCACCCCCAGCCAGGGCTGGGATTTTTGGCCTGCCCCCAGGCAATGGGGAATTGGGAGGGGTTGGCAAAGAGCCTCTTTATTGGGTGTGTGTTAAGCCTGTGTTTATTCTTCCTTCACCCATTCATTACCTGGAGCCTCCAGAGCACTAAAGAGGTAAAAGAGGGCGTGGCCAATCAAACCAAGCCTGTCAGGGGAGGATGTGCACCTGTTTTCTGTGCACATCCTCCGCCTTCCTGGTTCCAACCACCCTTACTTCCAGGTGGTAATCATTCTTAAGACTCCAGAAATTGCCACCAGAAGTGTGTGATTTGGTCAGATGGAGACAGGAGTCACAGTAGCGAGACCAGTAATACTTAGGAATGCACTAATGGATCGTTTGAGGCCTGCCTCATTGAGCAATCTTAAGCAAGGTATTTCAGCTTCTTCTGTCGTCTGTCATGTCCTCGGCCCTCTATCCTTTGGTGAAAACCCACTGTGCTATCTGGGGAGGATGATCCTTGGGTGGGAGAAGTTGTAGTAAACTCATTCCAGCAATAAAATGTGGTATTTAAAACCCAGGCACCTAGCTTTTTAGGAGCGAATCCCACCTTTGGAACATAATAATTGTGTGACTAGTTTTTTTTGTTTTTTCTTCCAAGTCTGATTTTCTCACGTGTGAACAATAATATCTACCTACCTTTTTGTGGTTTCATGAGGATTAACTGAGATAAGATATGCATATAGCACTATGTAATATAACACAGTAAGGGCCATGTAACTGTTGGCTTTTATAATTAGTTATTCACATCCAGCCACCCTTAAAATTAACAAGCTAATTACTAAATACTAACCACCCACGGGTGAAACTAAAGCCAAAGACTTCAGTGAAAAATTCTACTGGAGTTTGCCTCTTCCAAAGAGAGATGGACAGAGAGGTGGGTCAGTTCCTCCACAGCACTCTTGTTTTTCTCTACAGGCCATATATTTATTATAGTCATAAACAGCCAGTTGAAATTCCTTCAGTCTTAAGAAAATATGGTGCATTTTTTTCAGACAGTAAAGCTCTAAGAGCAAACATTTAATAATATTTAGAAATTATCAAACAAGCAATAATTAAACTTTTTGACTTAAAGTTGATTTTTAAAACCTGTATTTTCCTCTTATAATTTTGAAAATTACAGTTTTCACTTCTTCTCCATATGTTCCTGAGTTGAAATGTCACATGGAGGTGGAGGCAGCAGCACATTGCTATTTCTTTGCGGGGAAGAAAACCAGCTCTATCATTCAGAGTCAAAGCCTAAAACAACGACAACAACAACAAACCCCACCAAATGACAAGTTACAACAAAAACCCAACCTATTAATACATGAATATGTTTAATATTGATAATTTGATAAAAACCTTCATAAAACCATGTTAACTAAAATAATTTATTGATTCAATCCATCCAATTTTTTTTCTGGAGTATTGTTATTTTTGTATTTAAGTCTTTCCAAAGATCCCTTACTTTCCCTTCTGGTATCATACATAATAAAGGAAATACATTATTTTGCCCAGGGCTCAGCTCTCTCTCAAAAGTTCAGAGAGTGGGGATGCTAGGTTGTGGCTCACAGTACAGTGCTTGCCTAGCACGTGGGAGGCGCTGGGTTCCATCCTCAGCACTACATAAAAATAAATATAAAGTTATTTTTTAAAAAAAACTTCAGAGAAAGCCAGGTGCAATGGCACACATCTGTAATCCCAGTGGCTTGGGAGGCTGCGGCAGGAGAATTTCAAGTTCAAAGCCAGCCTCAGCAAAAGTGAGGCACTAAGCAACTCAGTGAGACCTTGTGTCTAAATAAAATACAAAACAGGGCTGGGGATGTGGCTCAGTGGTCGAGTGTCCCTGAGTTCAATCCCCAGTACCACCCCCTACCCAAAAGAAAGTTCAGAGAAAGCTGGGGGTGATGGTGCACACCTGCAATGATGGGGCACAGTGGGCGCGAGGCTGAGGCAGGAGGATCACTAGTTCAAAGCCAGCCTCAGCAACTTAGCAAGGCCCTAAGCAATTTAATGAGAATCTGTCTCTAAATAAAATATTTTAAAAAGGGCTGGGTGTGGTTCAATGGTTAAGCGACCCTGGGTTCAATCCCTGGTTAGCTGCCCCCCCCCAAAAAAAAAAAAGTTCGGAGAGACTTGTAATGGAAAAAGAAGAGGTGTGATTAAGGGACCAGGCAGCAGGTGAGGACTTGGATACGCTGTGATGGTTCAAGTGAGATCTCCTGGAGGGTGGAGAAACAAGGACAGGGGAGTGGGATGCATCTCCTTGGGAATGTGAGGAGCTTTAAAAACTGGGACATGGCAATATTGAGTGTGAAAGCCTAAGGTGACGATGAACAAGGCTGATCAGAGGATGGGTAGACTGGAGGAGGCGGGGACAGAAAAGACTTGAAGTTATTTTCCAACTCTCTTTGGTGGTTCCTTTCCAAGACCCAGGAAATTGGTTCTGGGCTGGCACGCCCGCTGCCACCCTCCCCAGGTGTGTGGCTGAGCGCTGACAGACTGACGTGTTTGAAACCCACTTTTGCTGGGTGTCAGTGATGGAAGGCTGAGCTGAGTGGATCCTACGATGCAGGGTGGATCAGGGCACGACTGATGAAGAAGAGGGAAGAGGCTAAGGGTAGTGTTAGGCTGGAGCCAGGGAAAGATTGTGTGTTTATTACATTTGAAATAAACTTAGTCCCATGGGATTGTGAAGACCGTGATCAAGGAAGTGAACTTCGGCAGTCAAACTGGGACTTGAGACCATGTGACTAGCATTGACTAGGGACCATGTGTGCAAACGAGTATCTTCAGAGTGCTGTCCCCAAAGCCCACATTCAAATTGTGCTGCAAACATAAAAATTGCCTTAGGGAATTAAGGCTAGGATGCATAAATGGCACTCTGGTTAGGATGGATACCTTTACATATCAAAGAAGTTTATATAAAGCATGTTCTACATGGAGCAGTATTGTACATGGAGTGGTTTTAGCACCAAGCAAGTTAAACTTTCTCTTGTCCAGAAAAAAAGTCTAAGAGCAGCAAAAGCCTTCCCATGTTTTCAGGACATTTAGAGGTCACCAGAACTGTAAAATGGAACAATAACAAATAAGAGCAATCAATAGCCTTTTTTTTTTTTCCTTCCGGCTTGGGTCTTCCCCACCTGAGTCCAAATTAAGCTTATTTGTCTTTCCACCTAAGGATGTGGCTGCCAGGGGAGGCTGGTCAATACAGGGT